AAAAATAAACAAATCATATGTAAATCCTAATGAAAGTAAAGGTTTTTAAGTTAATCATTTGTTTATGTCAAACAATATCTTTAAAGAAAAAAATCCCTTTTTTTAATATTTCTTTGATTTTGGTTTTCGAAATCTATAAGCAAAATTAAAAAAAAATTCTATATTTGTCATTCTACAGTTTTATGAAAAAATAAGCCTTTCATAGAATTTTCTAAATTTTTTGTATGATGAGTAAAATTTAATGACGAATTTAAAAATAAAAAGAAAAATATATGTTGATGTGTTGGATTTCTTGTAAAATGGAAGTTTCCATGGTAATCGTATATCTAAAAACTGTCAAAATAGCCTAAACTGTTATAAACGAATAGAAAATGTATAAGATAGCTTAAAACACAACAACGAGCATTGTTTTATGCAAAGATAACCTTATCTAATGATTCTGTATGAAAAAATGAATAAATCTGAAGCATATTTCTTTAAAAAAATGAGTTTTCCATGTTCCTCAACGACCAAAAAAATGAGAAAAATGAACATGGAATTCTCAGAATAATTAAAGAGATATTGAAAAAAAGTGTTTCATAGAATTTTTTCTAATTTTTTTTGTATATAGTGTAAAATTTTAATGACAAATTCAAAAAGAAAAAGAAAAATATATGTTGGCGTGTTTGGATTTTTTTGAAAAAATGGCAGTTTCCATGGTAACTGTATACCTTCAAAATTGTCAAAATATCCAAAACTGTATTATAATAATGTATAAAATAGCTTATTACATTCACAATAAACATAATTTTATACAAAAACCTTGCTTTTATCTTAGGGTTCTATATATGAAAAACAAACGATAATTTGGACATATTTTCTTTAAAAATGAGTTTTCATGCTTTTTAACTAAACAAAAAAAATGAGAAAAATAAACATGAAAATTTTCTGTAAAAAATTAAGCTATCAAGAAATTTCTTTTATAGAATTTTTCTACATTATTGATATATCAAGTAACATTTGATTGTGGATTCAAAAATAGAAATAAAATATATATGTTGAAGTGTTAGTTTTTTGTAAACGGGCAGTTTCCATGGTTACCGCATATGCCAACTGTCAAAATTACCACGCTTTCAGAAATATCAGTGTTATACCAAATGTATTGTCAAATATAAAACATGTTGTAATAATAATTTCTTTTTATTTTGATGTATTATTAAGTAAATGATACTGAATACCTTTTTTTAAAACATATCTAGTGCCATATTATTTTTTCATTCGACTAACATACCCGAACAGTAAGCAAGTATTCAGAAATTTACAAAGAAAATAATGAAATTCTGAACATTTCTTGGATATTAATTTTGTTTTTTTATTCAACACTTTTAAAATATATCATTTTAAACTTCTTTGCCCAGTTGCCTGCCAGTAATCAAGTCGCGACACTCTTTTGTCACTATACCACAAGTGGGTGGGGTAACGCGGGCAGAATTATCATCAAATGCTTCGTAACTAATGCTTGGAGGAATACTTTATGTGATTGTTGTCTAAACGACATTCTTAATTCTTTTTTGAACCCACATCTCCTCTTGAAAATTTAGAAAATATCTATTCTGTATTATTTACTCATTATTTGCTTATAGCCGAAATTTAAACACTTATCCGAATACTATTCTTTACTAACTTTACCATCATTTGAATAGTAATTATCCGTGATTATCTTTCTTGGATGCGCATAACGATGCGCACAGAAAACTACCGAAAACGTCTTTAATTAATAATAGGGATTTGTTGTTAACATGTAAGAAAACCATAAAAACTGTAGGTTTTATATTTTGTCAAAGTGGGTGGGGTAAATTTATCTGATAATTATAAAAAGAAAGACAACAAAATTTACACTGGTAAGTTATTTTGGTTTCTTCGCTTTTTCTGTTAATTCTTATGCAAAAATTCCCTATTAGAAAGTATTCTTTATTGAACGAAGGTATTTTCGTCTTTCTTTGGTTTATACAGAATTTATCTTAGTTTGATTGTGTAGAAAGCTATAGAATATATGTCTTTCTTTGGGTCAAGTAGGTGAGCTAAAATGTCAATAAATGCTCTACATTCATTATAATGCACTCAGTTATTAAATGTGGTTGCGTGATATTTCTTGATTCAATATCTTGATATTATTTGTTAATTGTTAATTGTGAAGATATATGAGAAGGCAATAAATCAACAAACATGCTTAAAATAGCAACATGCACATGAATAAAGCTGTCTATTAACGCATGTCATTAACTCCTTCACAAATTCATATCAAAAATATCAAAATGGCTTTAAAGATAATTCAATGAGATAATGCTTTTTGCATATTAAATATAAGGCTACTGTGACATCATCTCACCGTTGTGATGTGATACAGAGGTATCAATGTGTCACCTGACCTGCATAAAAATTTTAATGATTTAATATAACAGGGCTGTGATGGCCCTAGATCTCACACTATTGTTTGGAAAGGTCACAATTCTGTATAAACGTAGGTAATTATGTGCATCAATTTTGTCATAACATATATGATTTGTGAAATATTTGTATTTGGATGCTTTAAAAGAAACAGTCTAATATCCAGTTTCTCAGAATTGTTTCTCATGAGAGGACTGAAAAACACATGTAACTATTAATATTCCTATATGTGTCAATATAAACTTAGTGACCCCTGGTGCATGATAAATTTTAACCATCTTGTACATGATATATCAAATATTTGTAGAGTATCACAAGGTTATGATGATACATAATAAATGTATATAATCCGGGTACTGTAGTTTTAATGAATACTGGTTTATTACATAAGTCTGTGTAAAATAAGTGATACTCATTTCAAAGCCATTTTAACTGCAGGAACATCATACAATTGCATGCATTTAGTTTAACACTAGAAGATTTATTGTGTCTTCCTATACAAGTCTATAACCTGGGTGGCTCTTTGAGCAAATTCATTCAATTTGTTCAAGACACAAGAGGATGGTACATGTGCTTAATTAGTATATATGCTGTATGCTCTTTGTATTCTGCTTTTTGAGAAGACTTTTTAAACATTTTTACTATGTAAAATCTATGTACACTATGTGACTATTTAACTTTTAAAGAGGTCTTCTCTACTCGACAATGTTATAACGGTATGTTGAATATCTAAGTTCTAGACATTGTAGTTATCCAAAAGAGGACTTACATGTGATTTCCTTATAAGTCATTCAAAACTAAGTGACCCTCGTGGCAGGCCTTTTATTCATGCTCCTGCAGTTTAAAATGGTTATCCCTGGTATGATACTTATGTTTACATAGACTTAAAATTGTCTTAAAAATCTTCTCCGAAATTAAAGTTCCCAGAGCAGAATAATTATCATGAAACAAAACTTTGTGATACTCTATAAAAATTATGAATTCTTGACATAGGACCAAATCACTAAGTTTATATGGACTCATATAGGAATCTAACTATATGTATTGAGTCTTCTTGTGTGAAACAGTTCTGAGTACCTAGATATTGGGCATGTTTTCTTTGAAGCGAACCTTCACAAATAGTTCATAAATCATAACTGTATGTGGTTATAATAATGATTCTCCTAACATGATCTTATCTTACTTCTGTATTAAAGAGTAATGGCAATTTTCCTGCAGTGGATCTTAGGTGAGTGGTCTAGGATTGTTTAATGGGTAACATGAAATTTGAATAATCTTTGACAGACAGTTAATTTATATGTCAAATCATCAGCAACTGTATGTGGGTCAAGCGATACTATTGATATACTTATTTCACTACACATAGATCATATGATGTATGGGTCGCCTTAATTTCACTTTGTATCTTTTGAAAGTACAATGTCTAGATGTCATTATACAGTGCTAATTCAATTATACTTAATTACAGTCACATGAAAGTAGATATAAATTTGAATCGTACTGTAACAAGCTTTCAGTAAGTCTATGATATCTAATGCAAAATTCATTTTTCTCATTGTGTTGGCTTTTAAGCGATTTTTTATCTTTTCGTGATTGGCTTTTAAGCGATTTTTTATCTTTTCGTGAAGATATCGTAAAGGAATTAATTATATTCGTAAATAAGACAATATTTAACGCATGTTTTGTTGATGTATATTCAGTCTACTATCGTTACAATTAACTGATAATATTAAAACTATTGAAACAAGTTCTATCTGGCAACCAACTTTTATAACTGACTGGATACAAATGAATGTATGTGCATTACACCTTCTAGACCTGAATGAAGACAAAAAATACTTAAAACTTTTTAACAGTGACTACTTACCTAAGAATTCATAGAAAGTTTAACAAAAAGCGAACAAATAAAATTAACTTACAATCTTCGTTGTTTTTGTTTTTCAATTATGAGATAAAATTACCCCACCCACTTTGACAAAATATAAAACCTACAGATTTTATGTTTACAATAAACACATAGTGTTAATTAAATATCAAATACCCTATAAGAAACTAAGTAACTTTTTGAGTTTGGTACATGTCCTAAGATCTATTAGAAAACCATGTTAGAGAAATATGCAAATATTGGCACTTTTTCTTTGATATTTTAGAGATACTTGTTGGATGAATAACTTTAAAAGGTTGACTAACAAAGTAGTTTACATATTATTTGATTATTTTTAATATGTTTAAACCTTTTTTATCGAAATATGCATAATTTGTGATACAAATTATATGACAAAAGAGAAATATCAGTTTTGCATAAAATCGGCGCCCATATTGGACGCAATAGGTATGAACGCGGATTTTGTTTGAGGTTTGAACTTTTGTAAAGGAGGAACTTTATACACGCTTAAGTGTAAGTTTCAGGTCTGTACAAAAATTTCAGTGAATGAGCTATTATGTCATCAAATTTATATGGCGGCCATTTAAGAGATATCTTTGGGCCCACTTCACTTTTGGAATTTCTATAGTCTAAAGATGAATTCCTGAAAGTTTCATGCTTGTATCACAATTTGCACTATTTTGACAGGAGAGACCTTATTTCCCGCTTCAATAAATATACAGATACAAAATAGAATAAACAATAATGGGCAGGTATCTCAACGGTTTAAAAATTTCATCAAAGTGTGTATAAAACTAGCGAACACAACTGGATTTATTGTTTTTCCTTTTATATTTATAGTTCCGGCAATGGTTATGTCAGCGAACAGATAACATTTGAAAGGTAGGTTATAAATATCTTATTTTCTAATATGTAAGGTATCTATTCTAATAGCTGATTAATTTTTGTAGCTGTCATTGATAAACAGCAAATGAATGAAATAGTGTTGTTTCAGATTCATAAAAATGTTATATTTGTTATTATGAAATATTTAAACTTATCTAAAATAAAATAAATTTTTCAATCATAATAATAACGTCCCAATATCCACAATTTTGGTTTGGTGGTATTAAAATTGTAATCATATTTTAGAATTAAAAAAATGAGGAATCATGTTATGAGTTTATTGCTTGTTTAAGTTCGTTATGTCTTTGTTTATAGTTTTCACCGCGAGCAGAGACCATTCTATAGGTAAGCTATAATTATCCTATGTTCCACATGTTATTATTCCTTTAGTAAATTCAATACAATAAAAGTTAATCTCTCATCAAGGAGTATGCATTTTTTCAAATAAAGAAATAATTGTTAATTTTATTGCTTCCACGTGATAGCCCAAATTTCTCATTTTTATGCTTAACAGCAGGTGTAAATTGTCGAATGGCAGCTGTAAAAATGGTTGTATTTCTTTGGTCCTTCGGGTACGTTACCATTGAAATCAATACCGTCCTTTTATGTTCGATCCTTGAACATCGTTCAGCACTACATTATAGTTGTGTATACATTTTAAATGGCATTTTTTTCTTGTATTTGGCCTTTTTCAACATGGGTGATTCAAGTATTCCTTCTTTTATACTGTATAACCACCCTTAGGATATGTTACCTGCTTTTTAAATTTGTCTTTTGACGTCCTTTCCTTCATATGCAGGCTTCATAACCTCTGATTCCCTTTCAAAAACCCATTTTATTTAGTTCCGCCCATTGTTTTCTCGTTTAGGGCACACGCATTCTTTTATTTGGGGACCATACGCCGCTTTTCATGGAATAACACTTCTGTGTAACATTGAAGTTTTCCTGATAACCGCCATATGTACACATCTGCGGATGTTTCTAAATTCAAAATTTCACCACTTTTATGTTTAAATGTTGAATTCTCCTTAAGTCGGGGCTAGGGGGCTCGGACGGTAACTTGCACTTTCCCTTACCGTCCATGAACAGGCTCAATCAAACCCGAACCTGCAACATTTTACAATTTTGTCGTGTTTGGCTTTCTTTAGGGATTCTGTTTTTCTCTATTTAGCTGGGACTAGGGTCGTGAGAGATGTTGCACCTCGACAATATCTCTCATGAACAGACAGAATCATTTTAGTCTGGAATTTTCATTCAGTATTGTTTTTTTTATTGCTACTGACGCTCTTCTCTTTACCAGATTTCATTTTCATTTTGAATTCTGAGAAAACATCGCTAATTTGACAACTTCTTAAAAGGTTAAGAACGAAGGAAACTAACAAAGGAAATGATTTACAGGTAAATAAAACTGTTACAAATCGATAAAATGTTGACTGAGATCATGATTTGCTTTAGTTTTTAATCTCATCCGAGCATGGTATTGTGATCAGCTTTTCTCCGTTGTTCGGTGTCTGTTAACGGTTTACCCGTTACCAATTATCGTAAGGCTACATGGAAGTTTTCAGTGATGATCCTCTGCAAAAGTGTTTGACATTGTGAAGGAGTGCTGAACAAAAAGGATCCCGCAAGCTGAAAATAAACAAGATTGAATATTTTCTGATATCTTAAACATTTTATCGAAAATAAATTTTAAATTTCACAAGAAATGCGTGTTAGATTGTCCTCTTCAAAAACGGCTGAGGTAATCCACATGATGTACATGATAGCAGTCTAAGCGGGACATGAAAATAAGCTAAAAATAACATCTATTACCAATCGGTATATTCCCATTACAGTAAGCATAAATAACCATCGAATGGTCTTCTTAAACGATTGTTTGAAACATAACAGGTCTCCAAACAAAAATTGAGTTTAGTTTCCAATATAAGAACCTTTGAAAAACATGATTACTTGTGAAATGATGTAAAACTCGCCTGTGTACTATAACGACGAAAACTTGTGTTACTTTTACAAATACAAAATATGGCGTATCCACAGCCCTTGCTCTGCCTTGTGCCCCGTCCATTTTTTTGTTTGGGTCCTCCTGGGCTCCTGGCTCTTGTTGCTTGGTCGGGTGGTGGTTGCGTTCATTGAAAGCCGCCTTTCCTTGTTGATCTTGTTTATTATATTTTTGTACAGGGTATGAATGCTATCGAGGGGATCAAACTTCCTAAGAGCATTCTTGAAAATACAAAGCACTTCCAAATATTACCACGATAACAGTCTCTCAAAACAATGACAGTCATCTGAAATATTGTTTTTTGTCTCTCATCATCGAACGAGCTTCCATTTAGGAGAAAATTTTGTTCTGAACTAATAAGTAAAGAGTTTAAAGGGGCTGCATGCATGATGTGCTATCAACGTATGCTGTCTAGTTTTAACGGTTTATCTTTAATGTTCTGAATTTAAAGAGGTGTAATGAATTATTATTTCGTGAAGATTTCTAAGTAACTTTTAAACTGAAATGACTTCTTCAGTCACGTATAAGATATTATAAACTAAATTAACAAGGAAGAGCGGCGTTCAATGAACGCAACCCCACACGACCCAGCAACAAGAACCAGCGGCGAAGATTCCAGGAAGGCCCCAAACAAAAATAGGACAGCGCGCAAAGAAAATTCACTTACATGATACTTAAAATGAAATAAAATAAAAGTAACGGACAAGGAAATTAAAAAAAAACAACAAATAATTGATTAATCAACAGGCCCACAAAGCAAAAGGGCACATGGGAAGAGGACACGAAAATCGAGGAAGGAACGAGTAAGTCTAAAAAATGGGACAAAAGGCACGATACTTACATAGCTATACAAAAAAAATCGTCGACCAGGAGTGTACAATAAGTACCCATAGGAATTCCTATGACTGTCTAGATAGGGCATTAAGACCGCCTCCGTGGTCGAGGGGTTAGAGTCGATGACTTCTAATCCAGTTACCTCTCTGGCGTGGGTTCGATCCACAGGAGATGCTTTGGTAGTTTAGCGCGGAGGAAGGTAGTCTAGTGCTGGTTTAACTCTCCAGGAACGATGGTTAGGAAACTACCCGCCTATATGACTGAAATACTGTTGGAAAAAGGCGTAAAATAAAACAAACAAACAAGATAGGGCATTACCTGATATAAATGTTGTTTAAAACAAAAGAGAGTGCTCTACAAACTTCGTAACAGGATCACATAGCTATAATGCTTCACAATACAGTTAGTAAAAAAGCTTTGTTAGAATTGCATGCTAAAAGGTAATAGTGAAAAAGCACAATCCCTAAAGAAAGCCTAACACGGCAAAATTGTAAAATAATGCAGGCTCGGTTTAACTGAGCATGTTCATGGACGGTAATGGAAAGTGCAAGTTACCGTCCATGCCTCCTACTACCGGTTTAAGCAGAATTCAACATTTAAACACAAAAACTTTTTACGGCCTCCTACACTTAGCACAAATACCGTTACTAGAAAATGTGATCGTTTTTATCTCAGAATTTTGTTCAAATTTTTCATAAGGCACAGAACCGACTTATGTTGTCATTTTTCATTGCCTCATTGTGCCCAGTAGGAGGTCATTCTTTATTTTTATATTTTCTGAAAAGTCTACAGATCTACAGATAAATTTAAATTCAAAATGTTACAATTTTTCATGTTCAAATGTTGAATACTGTTTAAGCCTGTTGGGGGTGTTAAGGTAGTTTGCAATTAAAAATCTAAGTGAATTTTATTCGGACACCTGTCAAAATCTCAGAAAACATTAATTGGCTTTTTTGCACATTTTTTCAGCCCGCATTCTCAAGCTTTAAGTATAGAGCCACCTTTGCAAGGATCAAATGTTCAACAATTCGGTCCAGGTATGGCAATTTAACGTTTGTATGTTAGCTATATAACTTTGTTGAAGACCTTGACTGAGAATCTATTCTAAGCAAGTTATTTTTCGCAACAGTTTTTCTAATAATATAACCATACAGATCTTAAAATAAATTCTTTTACTTTTTTATCAAATTATTTTGAAATAAGTTTTTGTATTATATAAAATATGTATCAAAAGCCAATTAGCCATCTGTATAACATTATCCATAGGTACAAAAGAAAATGTTGGTTTTTGCATTCATGTTTTAGATTGAAATAGACGATATATTATTATTATTATTATTACAGCACCTACAGACCAAAGGGTTCGTAGTATTTTAATTAATTTACTGTTTTTTCTGTATACATCTAAAACAATTCATTAATTTATTCTAACTATTGATATTGATTATAATACATTGTAATAAAATAAGAAAGTGACAGACAAATTTATTGATGATTCTCTTTAACAAGTCTCTTGTAACATGATTTAAAGGAGTGGTTAAGCAGACCGTTTTATTTTTTACAATATTTTTCATCGGTGTGAACATATTGAAAGATATTGAGCGAACAAAAGTGAAAGCAAATAAAGGGAAAGATATAGTGAAAACTTGCAAAGTAAATGCAATGTACGGTATAGGATTTCTTGAACATTTAAAACTTGTAGGACACAGTGCATGTAAACATACTAGGGTATGATAAACCTTTATTGAAAGTAACCATATCCTTTCAATGAATATAGAAGCACATTCAATGTAACAAACAATGTATGCATATTTATTTGATCAATATGCTTATATAATGTCAAAGTATGTGTCATACAAATCTCTGAAATTATATTGTTGGTTACCAAACCTAAAAGGTTTTTATATTTTGCTTCTCTATCAATAATTGACAGTAAATTCAAAGTTGTGGAATTTCAGGGTCGGTATGACTTCAACACTGTTGGAAACCCTGGACCTGTTACACCTATAGGACACAGTGTATGTATACCAATTGCTATATATGTTTCAAGATATATGCACATTGGAAGAAGTTATGACCGTAATATTCTAAATTCCAATTAGTGATTTTGCGTTATTATGATTGGAATAGTGATAATTATTACGAACTTGTTTGGTCGTACTTTGTTTATAAGCAATAAGTAGTTACTACAGTTTTCGGATATTTCAAGTCTTTATTTTGAAAATACTGATCGCTAAATTTATAGGGAATGTGCATATGTATACTGCATTCAAGAAAGTATATGTAAATATAAGGCCTGTGTAGGATAATAAAAAGTTGATTTGGTCGCCTCTGTTCAGTAAAACGATGCCGAAATATTTCAAGGCTTTAATGTATCCCTAGTACTCTGATGGAAATCCTGGTCGTGTGACATATGGAGAACGCAGTTTGTGTACACATATTGTATTAAATGTAGCAACATACAAGTATATCAAAACAGACAATGCGGTTGTATTTTGATATTTCTTTGCGTAAGCATCATTTAATATTTTAGCGTTATTGCAAAAGATTTAAAAATAGGCTAAGGTAGACCAATTTGAAGCATTTTCTGTTCTGCTTAGTTTATAAAGAAAACAAATTATGCAATGCTGTGATATTTCAGGATCAATACAGCTCAAACCCGTTGCAAAATTTTGAAGCTTTAACACTTGGAGGACCCAGTGTGAGTATACATATCGAACTATCCATATAGAACTGTCTTGCCTAATATATGTACAATAAAAAATAACCTCTAAATTTTTAGCGAATATACATGAACATTCAAAAAGTTATGTACAATAAATACAACATTACATTTAGTATATATGTTTGAAATTATGCGATGTTGTGTGTTATGCCTCAATCTGTAAATATAATATTCAGGTTAGACCAACCAAAAACTTGTTCTGTTTTCAATTTTTGTAAACAATCAACTGCATTTTATTTTAGGATCCTTATGACTCAAATACGTCCGGAACTCCTTTCATTCCTGGAGGATACAATGTTGGTGTATATGTTTATTGCAATGCATGTAGCGAAATACATCTTCAAAGAATAGTCATGTCTGTAAATAAAAATGAACAGTCAAATATACAATGTACACAATTACTGTTTTGAAATTGTCTGTGATGCTATAATCTGTGAATACAGTGTTAGGATGAACAAATTTAAAGCCTTTTCTATTTTACTCTATTAATAATCAAAAGTAGTAAATACTGATTAATTTCAGGATCCGTATGGAAGAAATCTTGGCCGTTCCATACCAAGCGGAAATTATGTATGTATAGTCTTTTTTATTGCATGTGGTATCGACAGATGTCATGTATTTTCAATTAATATGTACGCCCTTTCGGAAAGTAATCTGATATGTACAAATGTGTCATTCCTCTGTGAAAACATCATTTAATAAAAATGTTTGACATGCTAAAAACTGTAAAGAAAATGTTAGATTAAACCAATTAAATGTTTGTATTTGTTGTAATCTGTCATACTCCATATATATTTGTTTCTATTATACGTATGGTAATATATATTTTTCTCAGAAAATTTTACATCACCAGTCCAACACCGGAATATTTAACAAATAAAAGGAGAAGAATTCTATAAGACCTAGTCTTTCGTTCTAATCCTCTTCTTTGAATATTGTCAAATTTTGTATGTGTATATATTTCAAATGTTATTATGTACATATTCTGAGAATACATATGTTTAAACTAATCTGTTCATTTGTAATCACCAGTAATGTTTAAATATTATAGGGCTCTGCTGGACCAAGCACTTATGGAAACCCTGGTCAATTAACCTATGGACAATGCTATGTATGTACATATATTATTTCTTGAATTAAAATATTTCTACTTTCAAGCACATAATTTTTAAAAAGTTTAAAAAGTTAAGGTTTGATCAGATGGTTCGATCAATCTAAAGCTTGTTCTCTTCCTGCAAAAATTGAGCAAGGAATGCAAAAGTAGAATGTATCGGGAAGCGTATGACGTCAGTACTAAAGTTCCCAGGAAATTGTGACCATTATTTCACCTACAATGTATTTAGACAAATATCTGACATTTTGAATAATTCATCCATATTTAATCCAGTCATTTCTTTTAAGTAAACATACTAGAGTGTTCTATACATTTACTTTAAAAAGCAAGCCCCTAGAAACAATATATTCAGGAATTGAATGACCAGTCCTTACCAAATGAAATAATAGATGCAGATGGACAGGCAAACTATGACATTATATACATTTTAAGCATTTTTATGATATCATTGCTGTAATTGTTGATAAAATTTGGAAGATATTTAGCAAATGTTTGATGTTCTTCACATAAGCTTATGGTATAAAAGCATAATCTAGATTATCGCTTGTGCATATACTGTGAAACTATTATCGAAGATAAATAACATTTTATGAAATGCTTATCTTATTCATGGTAATTGGTACTTTCTTATATTTGATATCGAAACATAGAAAATAGTATTATTATTTTTTATGTCAATTAAAAAAATAAAAAAAAAATAAAGATTTAATTTGAAATTTCTCTTTAAACATTTATTATTCAGGATCCGTATGGAAGAAATCTTGGCCCTTCCATTCCAGGAGGAAATTATGTATGTATAGTTTTGTATTGCATGTGGTATCGACAGATGTCATGTATTTTCAGTTAAGAAGTACGCCCTTTCAGAAAGTAATATGATATGTACAAATGTGTCATTCCTCTGTGAAAACATTATTTAATAAAAATGTTTGACATGCTAAAAACTGTAAACAAAATGTTAGATTAAACCAATTAAATGCTTGTATTAGTCATAATCTGTTCATTTGTAATCACCAGTAATGTTTTGATATTATAGGGCTCTGCTGGACCAAGCACTTATGGAAACCCTGGTCAATTAACATATGGACAATGCAATGTATGTACATATATTATTTCTTGAATTAAAATATTTCTACTTTAGGTACATATATTTTAAAAAGTTTAAAATGTTAAGGTTCGAAACAATTTAAGGGGTTTAATCAAAATAAAGCTTGTTCTTTTTTTGGGGAAAAAAAAAAAGGGGAAGGGGGGAAGGGGGAAAGGGGGTTTAATTTTATTCGGAAAGCGTTTTGACGTCAGTACTAAATTCCCAGGAAAATTTTGACCCCTTATTTCCCCCTACCAAAGTATTTTGGGCAAATTTTTGACCCTTTTGGAATAATTCTCCATATTTAAAACCAGTCATTTTTTTTTAAGTAAACATACTAAGTGTTCTTACATTTACTTTGAAGGGGAAGCCCCTAAAAAAAAATTTTTTGATAAAATTTTTGGAAAATATTTAGCAAATGTTTGTTATTCTTTTTATTTAAAATTTTGGTTTTGGAAAACACAATTTTAGAATTTTCGCTTGGTTGGGAATTTCTGTGAAACTTTATCGAAGAAAGATAAAAAAACTTTTTTGGGAAAACTTAATTTGAAGAAGGGTAAATAACATTTTTTGGAATACTTATCAATTTACCCGGGAATTTTTTATTTTTTTTATTATTTTATATTTGAAACATATTTTAAAATAGTATGATTAATGTTTATGTCAACTAAAAATGTAAAGATAAGGATTTAATTTGAAATGTCTCTTTTCACATTTATTATTCGTTTAAAGAGTAAGACAAGTATTTCAAGAGTTATTTCAGATAATTCAAACAAATTTTGTTTATAAATTTCAATTGTTGTTATTATAACCACAGGTAACGTACCCGTATCATTTTGCTTGATTCTGAACATTTTGTACTTTGGCCGGAGCTCAAATATACAAACAGCGAGATTGAAATTGTATTTCATGAAAATTATGTAAAAAGAACATAACATATACTTTATTTCTGACTTTTACACAACACTCATCACCATAACATACATATATACATGTATATCTGTTACAGTGTAGATATAATGTATTGTAAGTCCAAATAATATAGATGGGATGTTTCCGTATTTCAGGGCCAGTTAAGCTTTAATCCTTTTGGAAATATTAGAAGCAATCCTGGCATCTTCACACCTCGAGGAAACAGTGTATGTATTCATACTGCACAGCATATTTCATGATATATCCATTCCAACAGTAGTTAGTATTGAATGTAAACGAAATATAGACGTATGAAATATGAACGATGGTTTAACATCAAATTTTGACCCTGTAAAACAATAACGCATGCGTTGAGAATTAACCTTTGGCCATTTTCAGCGTTGAGAAATGACCCTGTCAACATTTCAACATTTAAATTTGATCGAAAGACGATGAGACCGGATGTGTCGTTAAATTTTAATCAAAATGGGACCATTTTTACGATTGGTTCAATGCCAGTTAAACGTTAGATATCTTTAATTTGTGATAAAGCACTCGAACTAATCAGAAACTCTCTCAAGCTTCTTTTAGATCACTTCATTATGCCAAGTTCAGACTCAAACTAACAATTCCTCCGAGAAAGGCAACATTATATTGATGTTGGCCAGAAAAATGTTTCCCTTATCACTCAAAATCATCGTCTATTGCAAAGATTCAACGGGTTATCATTGTTCTTTTTATAAAAAAAATGTCATGTCCTGTGATAACAACGGACAGCTTCGAATATTTCGGACGAATTCGGAAGCGTGACATTTTAGGTCTGCCGTCTATAAGATCATATATTAGACTTTAACCGTGTGTTACCACCAGTTTGTTTTGATCTTAATCTATCTTGGCAATTAATGTTGCATCGTACAGTTTAAATTTGAAACAAACACTGGCCCGGCGATTCCAAATGTCGGGAAGGTGAAGAACCCTTTACTGCTTTCACTACGTATGCAGAGTTTGCAACAGTAAGCTAAGATTTGCTAGCGACACAGATGTATGATACTCGCTTTGGGTGCAAGCAATTGCTGGTTCGATTATCAGATGAAACTCTCTTTTTATTATTTTATATCTACTATCGTTTTTAATGCAACACTGCACTATAATAGAGCTAATGAAACATGAAACTGAAGTAAAAGTTATTTTTGTCTTCATAACTGTTTTACACCGCTTTACGACATTGAGTCATATAACGGCGGGAAGATAATCAAACCAGTGTTTCTTCGCAAATAACAACCAATTGCTTTGCATGAATCCGAGATATGTGACGGATGGGCCCGCTGAGAAACTTAGATATAAGTGTTGATGAGAAAAATAAAAGGATACACATCGTTGTAGCAAGTGCAATACTAAAATAACTGACTGAAATGCCAGCCCTGGCAATAATTTGCATTTTAATTCGCTTACCACCGCTTGTGGAGCTCCTCGATGTCTTTTTATTATTTATCTATTGATATCTTTTAATATCAATAGATAATAGATGTTAGTTTAGGTTTTCTTAAATATTGCAATACTCCAAAAATAGGGGAAAAACAAAAGTATATACTAAGAGTATACTGCATGCCATATCATATGATACCATGTAAGCACAGTTTACATGTAGCAGTCAATGCTACAACAATCAAGAACTTATTTTACAGTTTTGGTATTGTCACTGTTACCGATAAACGTTAACCTTTTTTCAATGTCTAGTTTTATTGACTTAAATTTTATACATTTGACATTCCATTTTGCTGTTTAAACTTTATCAGAATAATAATAGTATAAATCAGTCTTTATTCCAAATTCAGACTCGAGTTAATAAGAATGATGGATTTACTATATTCATATAAAAACCCATGACTCCCAGGGTAGGGCCAATTTTGGCACCCAGTTCCATAATTTAATCAATCTAATTAGAGAACCATTAGATGATGTTTTATGCCAAATATCTATGCTCTTACATTTAGGCTTTCGGAAAATAATTCCTTCGAAGCTTTTACTGACAGATCAGGAATTCCATGACCCGCGACAGGCCTAATTTAACCCCAGGACTATGATTTATACAATCTTGGTAGACATCTATTCGCCAATGTTTCATGCCAAATATATAAGCTCTAGCAGATGGGCTTTCAAAGAAGATTTTTTAAGCTTTTGCTATATACTTTCACATATCAGGAACAAATGTGACCCCTGACGATGCTGAGCTTAACCCAAGCGTCATAATTTGTTCAATTTTGATACATATCTCTTTCAAATGATGTTTTTTAGTCCCCTACCGGTTTACCGGAGGGGACTGTAGGTTTACCCTCCGTCCGACTGTCCGTCCGTCCGAGCAACCAAATAGGGTTCGGGGGCCATCTGTTTGTTTGTTTGTTTCATTTTACGCCTTTTTCCAACAGTATTTCAGTCCTATAGGCGGGTAGTTTCCTAACCATCGTTCCTGGAGAGTTACACCAGTACTAGACTACCTTCCTCCGTTCCAAACTACCAAAGCATCTCCCGGGGATCGAACCCACGCCAGAGAGGTAACTGGATTAGAAGTCATCGACTCTAACCCCTCGACCACGGAGGCGGTCTCGGGGGCCATCTAACAGTTAACAGAACAAAAGAGAACAACATAGTTCATTCCGTAACAATAGAATAAGGGGCCATGGCCCTCTATCAAACAAAAGAAAATAACAAAAGAAATGGCCCTTTAGTCCATTTAAGTGGCACATTCGTTTCTCTGTCCGTCTGTCAGTCTGTCAGTCCGTCCGTCCACAAAACTGGATCCCGCGATAACGCAAAAAAGTACTAAAAATATTTTTATGAAACTTGATATATGGATAGATGGCAGTATGCAGATAATGCACGTCATTTTCTTTTCTTCCTATGTTGAAATTTCTTGATATAAGGATATATGGCAATATGGAGATTATGCACGTCATTTTCTTTTCTTCCTTTGTTGAAATTTCTGGTTGCTATTGCAACAAATAGACTGAAAAAGGGCAAATTTTACACATAAACTTGATTTATTGATAACGCAAAAAGTACTGGAAATATGTCTATGAAACTTGAAATATGGGTAGATGGCAATCTGGAGATTATGCACGTCTTTTTCTTTTCTGCCGATAATAAAAATTCTGGTTTCTATGGCAACAAATACACTGAAGTTCAAGATTTATGATTCCAGTTTTTATGCTTTTTGGTAAAACTGCTTTATTTCTTAAGGTATTTACTTCAAACTTTAGATATTAGTTTCTGGTCATCAACTGCATCATTTGTGACAAGGTTTACAACTCTAGCACAAAAATATCAAAATTACCCCCCTTGAACCTAGAATTTTCATAAAATGTTTTTTCTTTCATAACTTCTTTATTTCTTAATGTATCTGCTTCAAACTTTATATGTATGTTTCTTATTATCACTCAACATATATGAGAAGGTTCAATACTCTAGCAAGACTATTTTCAGAATTATGCCCCCCCCCCGGAGCTTTTTTGAGAAATTGCTATTTTTAACTCCCAACTTCTTTATTCCTTTTAGGATTTACTTCAATATCATACATCATAAGCAAAATTACTTAAAATAGAGAAAGTTAAAACATATGTCATACTTATTCATCCTGAGAAAATTGGACCTTTTGATTATCTTTTGTATAATTTCCTTACTTGGCAGGGAAACTAACACATTACTATAATATATACAAACTTAGAAGTCCAAAGATTTAAGTTCATTGATGTCATTCATTCATTCAATGGTATAACTGAATGGCCATAGCCCATCAGAATGTTGCTGGGGCTCTAACCGGTAGGAGATTTATGGATTGCTTGCAATACTTTGATAATTGCTTGTTACTCTAGTACTTGACATTTCCAAGAAAAAAATGTTAATCGTTACATAGGTCATTACACAAAATTATAAGGAAAACCCATGAAACCCCGTTGCGGGACCAGAATTGACCCTAGATCAATAATGGATGTTATCATATAATCTATAAATAGATTTGAAATGCCTTTTTTCTGATTAGTGAAGAAGTACCTTTTATGTAAAAATTAACAGGTCAATAATAGAGTATATTCATTAGTTTTCTTCTAAAAAAAAGATTTTCAGAGTAAAATCACCGTTTGGTCTCTCAAAATATATCATCTGGAAATCCCACTAAAGACGCGATGTTATGAAGTTACGTCACGCAATTTCTCGCTAATATAAATGTTTTTAGTTATCGTCTTGACATTTTAAGCATATTTCAAATTTACAACATCACAACATATTCACTAGCTAAAAAGTCCATATTTGTTTATTATTTACTACATAACAATTCTCTTAGTCTTGTACTTTCAGACAAGAAGTTTTTTTAATTTGCATTTCTACAACCACATTTTCGGTCCTGTGTCCAATTAATGCAACTGATCAAAACCATTTGAACAGTTTTGATAGGGTACCCATAAAGGTTCATTTCCTTGTAGTTTGGTAAAAACATACAGTGATAGATTTCAGGGGAGATTGTTTTTCAGACGCATGACGGACGAAGACGGAAGCCGGACAGAGGGGGTCATATAGTTTTACAATGAAAAGCTTGTGCTCAATTAAGCTAAAAGGGAAAACCCGTTGATAATTTTGAGATTTTTGATTTGTATTTTTACTGTCTTTACATGTACGAGGGTTGTCCCAGAATTACGTGGACTTTTGCTGTAACTCAAAAACTACTGAAAATAAAAACAAACAAAATTAACATGAACAATATGCAACTTTATTGCATTAGTACAAAAAATTTCAAAGTTGTCCGGCAACAGGATCAGTGTCTGTGGGCAGGGTAATGAGACAAGGGGTAGCGGGTGCGAGGCAGTCCATTCCGCCGTTACGACGTCATTCCGGTGGCGTCGCTAGTTGTTAATAAATGCGTGGCGTCGAATGTCAGTTTTTCTCAACATAGTCGCGCCTAACTCAATACACCTATGGTGTCGATATGGTCGAACACCGCCCTGTACCACTCCTGGTCGAAATCAGCCACCACTTTCTGCGTTGCGAACGAGAGTTCCTGGAAGGAATCGAACTTCCGTCCCTTAAGTAAGCGATATTGTACATATACTTAATCTGCAAATAATAATAATTATAATAATAATAATAATAATAATAATAAAGCATACTATTAACTTTTGTTACGATAATAGTGTTAAAGACGACGGTGATAATGCTGACGCCGTATTATTATTATTATTATTATTATCTATCATTTTTATTATTATTATTATTATTCTTATTATTATTATTTATTCTTAGTATTATTTTTATCATTATTATTATTATTGTGAAGTTTATTTTGTACGCAAAGACAATGTGCGTTAACAACCTATCATGCGCACTATCATCTATGACGTCCTTGACTTCCTTAATTGACGCCGCAGTCAACGTTGACTTTCTCCCACGACCCTTGTCGTCTTCAATGTCCTCCCGGCCGTCTCGAAAACGTTTATTCCACTTGAAAACGAGTGATCGACAAACAGGAGGTTTCACTTTTGCAGTCTTCAACATTTCCTGCGTCTGTGTTGGCGTCTTCCCAAGATTAACACAAAACATGATGATAGTCCGATGTTCCGCGTAATCAGTGGACGTCATTTTTTGTTAAATATCCAAGAGTAACGGCTGTCAGTTGTCCGCTGGTAAAAAATAATGGAAACTGCTATGACTTCAAAATTTCAAAAGAAAGTTCATATGACGTCACTGTATATGCTTACGACGTCGCGCCATTTTTTACGTATAAATACGCAAGATATACGAAAGTAAAGACAACTTATTAATACAAAATATTGAACTGCATCGCCCTGCGCATACTGCGTTACTATAGCGACGTAAAATATACAGAAGCAATGTTAGAAATTTAAAAATAATGGACATATTCATTAAGGATATGTAAAAGGTATTGTGTACAAATTTGCTAAAAAATGCATTAAAAAATAAAAAAGTTATAGCAAAAGTCCACGTAATTCTGGGACACCCCTCGTATGTATATGTTTCTATTTTGGCAATAAGATATGTTTAAATCAAAAGGCATACAAAGTATTATAATAGTAAACTATTTTCTTAAGCAGCATAAAATGTCTGTGGTGCATGACAAATAATTAGTATAATTAGAAAAGATCATTCTCAATCGGATGAGACAATATAAATATTTATGTCTGCATGGCATAGGCTTATTGTGCAAAATCATAGGGTTTACTTTTCGAAATATTGCCTTTGAATAGTTAATATGTTTTCAACAAGGGTCAAATTGGAGCTTGTGATGGGTCATTATTTATCAGGTAGGTGTCAACGTTGCAAATTGAACAACAATTTGTTAAAAATTGACTGGTGGGTCATTTGTTTCTAACAGAGTAAAACTTTAATTGTTATAAAATGTATGATATGGGTATTATTTTGTGTAAACGTAAGTTTAGGTTATGTCATGCAAAAATCTGATAAAACATTGTTATGTTTTACTGATTAATTCTTCTTTTGTCGTCTACTGATAATAAACAGTCATCAGTAAAAGCAGTGCTTGATGTTTCAGAGTTTTCCTTGCAATGATGGACATCCTGGCCGTTTAACCTACGGAGAATGTAGTGTATGTACACATATTGTTTTATATGAAGTAACAAACATATGTATAATCAATATTTAATATACATAAAGTTTGATAAAGTTATGACAGTAAAAATATTTGACATTCATTTGTGTTGACATAATCTAAAAATGTTTGTCATGCTATAATCTGTAAATATAAAGTTAGATAAGACTAATAGATAGCTTGTTTTGTCATACTTTGCTCATAATCGATTAGTACTAAATATAATGATGGGATATTTCAGGGTTGTGGTGGATCCAGTTCTTATGGGAATCCTGGTCGTTTAACCTACGGAGAATGCAGTGTATGTACACATAATGTATTACATGTAGAAAATGTTTTAAAGTAGTTATTTTTATTACATGTTTTCCAGTAGATTACTGAATTATAACGGTTAATTATATTCTGATAATTTCACAGTAATGATTACCAAATATAATTTCACAGTAGCCGAACTATATTTGGCGTAAAAATAAAATATTTATCATTAATGAATGTTTTTTTCAGCGGAAATGTAGTCAATCATAATAAAAAATGTACGTGATAACTGTAGTTCGTAAATATTTACGAACGTTGTGTTGAAAAACATCTAAAATCTAAAAATAATCATGGAATTATATTTTGCTTCAACATTGTGACGTCAGTATTTGATGACGTCATGAAGATAAGAGCATGACGTTACGCGGCAAAAATCAGTAAAATGGTGTAAAAATCGTTAAAAAATCATGAAATAAACAGAAAATTTGTTTGTTTTACATGTAAGATCAAATAATATTTCACTCGTGAACCCCAGTTATTATATTTTCACTCGTGGCTACGCCACTCGTGGAAAATATTGCATCTGGTGTTCACTCGGTGAAATATTTTTCGATCTTACACTGAAACAAACAAATATCCTCTATATAATTATATTAATTAAAGAATTATCCTTTCAGAACATATAAATTTACAATCTGCAGTAAAGATATCTAGTTATTGTGTGTCGTACAGAATCTAAATATAAAAAGTAGGTAATATTTATCGAAAGTTTGCTCTGCTCTGCATTGTAAATAAGCAACTTACAAATAATGCAATTTTTTAATTTGTCATCGGTATGACATCAGTTTTTACGGAAATTTTGGCTATTTACCACGTGCAGAACAAGGGCACAGTGTAAATAACTAGCAATTTAAACACAGGCAGGACATCGTTTAACATATTGAACTCCATATTGCAAAACAAAGTAACAATTGCTTTTCAGTAAATATATACACAAACTTTCATAAAGTAATAGACAAAAACACCGGCGTTCGATAAAGTTGTCTTGCAAATAAAAGTCAAACTATCATAAAATAATCCCCCTTGATCATAAAAAAACACAATAACTATCCAGCACAGGCTTATGATTTTTAGGTAAAAAACGCATCGCAGCGTACTTCCCGACTAAGTCTAATATCTGAACATTTTCATAAACGTTTGAATATGTATGTATCCTTAAGTTTTTTCTCCACATGTTATATGAATTAATACCCATTGTCTCAGTAGATTGATGCCATCATTTAGTTGTAAATTTAAAAAAGAGTCAGAGAAGCACTTTATATGATTTCATATCTTTCTTTCTAATCTATTTCAACATCGTTTATATTGAATGCCTGTATATCATGTATTGTGTATGATTATGAAAAAAATATGTTTAAAAAAACTAATCAGAGGAATTGAAATTGTATACTTAGCAGTGTGATTAACATATATTGATGATATGTTTTTACGCGTTTAAATACGGAATCGTTTATATTCGGGTTAGACAAATCAGTAGCTTGTTCTGTTTTCATTTGTTTGTTATCAATAAATTGTAGTCACAGTGATGCGTTATTTCAGGGTCCTTATGACTCAAATAGGTCTGAAATTCCTTTCATTCCTGGAGATACAGTGTGCGTGTATATAATTATTGCATTGCATGTAGCAGAATACGTCTACAGAAAGTAGTGCAACTGTAAATTAAAATGAACAGTCAGACAGTAATATACAATGTACACAATTACTGTTTTTAAATTATCTGTGATGCTATAATCTGTCAATACAGTGTTAGGTTAGACAAATTGAATGTATTTGTTTTATTTCGCTCTGTTCATAATCAAAATTAGTTAAAGCAATACTTTTATATTACAGGCATCGCATGGAAGAAATCGTGGCCGTTCCAAGCATAAAGGAATTAATGTATGTATGATAATTGCATTACTTGCGGTATGTCATGTAGGTTCGATCCCTTGGAAAAATACCTCTACATTTGAATCAGTCATTTCTTTTAAATGAACATACTTGATTGTTCTATACATTTCTTGTGTACTTTGTAGTTTTAAAATAGCCATTGCCTTTCAGTTAATATACACAAACTTTTAAAAAGTAAGAGACAAGGACAGTGGCGTCCGGTACAGTTGTCTTACAAATAATGGTCAAATTGTCATAAAATATTCCTCTTATGATCATAAACAACACAATTACTATCAAGCACAGGGTTATTATATTTAAGGTATATAACTCATCACAGCGTACGTCCCGACTTAGACTTATATCTGAACATTTTAATAAACGTTTAAATATGTATGTATCATTAAGTTTTTTTCCACATGCTATATGATTTATTACACATTGTTTCAGTAGATTGATGCCATCATTTTATAGTCACAGTGATGTGTTATTCTAGATCCTTATGACTCAAATAGGTCTGAAATTCCTTTCATTCCTGGAGGATACAGTGTGCGTGTATATAATTATTGCATCGCATGTGGCAAAATACGTCTACAGAAAGTAGTGCAACTGTAAATTAAAATGAACAGTCAGACAGTAATATACAATGTACACAATTACTGTTTTTAAATTATCTGTGATGCTATAATCTGTCAATACAGTGTTAGGTTAGACAAATTGAATGTATTTGTTTTATTTCGCTCTGTTCATAATCAAAATTAGTTAAAGCAATACTTTTATATTACAGGCATCGCATGGAAGAAATCGTGGCCGTTCTAAGCCTAGAGGAAATTATGTATGTATAATAATTCCTTTACTTGCGGTATGTCATGTATTTTCATTGAATATACAAGTAGTATGATATGCACGAATGTGGCATTCCTCTGTGAAACATTATTTAAGAATGGTTAATGTGCAAAAAACTATAACTATAAAAACTATAAACTATAAAACTGTAAATATAATGTTAAATAAGACTGATAAAAGCTTTATTTGTCGTAATATGTTCATAATACGTTCATAAGCAATTACCAGTAAATGCAATGTTTGCTCTACTGGACCAAAGACTTATGGAAACCTCGGTCAAATGACCTATGGACAAAGCAGTGTATGTATTTTATATTTTGTAAAAAAAAGTTTTCTACATCAATCAAAAGCTTGTTTTTATCTGCAAGAAATGAACAGGGAATGCAATTATAGTATAATGTATCGGGAAGCGAAGGACGTCTGTACTAAAGTTCTCAGGAAATCGTGACTGTTAATCACCTAGGGACACAGTGTATTTAAAAAAAATACATCTACATTTGAATTAGTCATTTCTTTTAAATGAACATACTAGATTGTTCTATACATTTCTTGTGTACTTTGTAGATTGAAAGTCAGTAAATATACACAAACTTTCATAAAGTAATAAAGAAGACTTGCGTTCGGTAAAGTTGTCTTGCAAATAATGGTCAAATCGTCATAAAATAATCCTCCCTGATCATAAAAAACACAATTACTATCCAGCACTGGTTTACTATATTTTAGGTATATAACTCATCGCAGCGTACTGATTGACTAAGTCGCAAATCTGAAAATTTTAATAAGCGTTTGAATATGTTTGAACGTTTGAAACGTTTGAACGTTTCCTTAGGTTTTTTCCACATGTTATATGAATACACAATCATTGTCTTAGTAGATTGATGACATCATTTTGTTGTAAATTTAAAATAGAGTCAGAGAAGAACTTTATTTCATATCTTTCGTTCTAATCCATTTCAACATTGATTATATTGAATGCATGTATATCATGCATTGTGTATGATTATGAATAAAATATGTTTAAAAAGACTAATCAGATGAATTGAAAGTGTATACTTAGCAGCGTGATGAGCATATATTGTTGATATGGTTTTATGCGTTTAAATACGGAATCGTTTAATTTTGAAATCTAATTATATCGGTGCATTAGTGGCGCTTTATTTCAATGGATTACTGTACTATTTGCAACTAACTCTGAAGAATCAATTATTAACTTAAGGATACTACGTACCTTATTATCATATGTTAGCAGAGGATAATTGTATCTTTAATTGACATCAAAATCATTTGAATTAAATGAAGAAGAGAAAACTCTTATTTCATCTAATTCGTTTACGTCACGCACAATATTAACATGTACTCGTACAATAATAACGTGCAAAGCAATCCACAAATTCTTCCATATGTATTTAAGCGAGATCAAATATTTAAAATGTATTACTGGTTTACTTTACTTCAGCGTGAAAGCAGCAGTTCAAGCAGCAGCAGTTCTAGCAGCAATTCAAACAGCAGATACAGCAACAGTGACAGCGATGACAGTTATACAGACTATAGTGTTATCTTGTCCTTTTAACTAATGTTAGAATTAAACAATAGTTGAAAGTCTTACTCCAATTATATGTTACGTTAAATAAATGCTTTAAATCTAGTTGATAACACTATGGACTCTTTCTTCAATCAAATATATTGTATTGACAAACATGAATGTCGTTTTCTAAAATACTGGTACCTTGATTTTTACAGATACTTAACTTTTCTACTAATATTGGTCAAGTGATTTAGATAAGTGAAACACATTGCCACTGTGGGGTTTATTTTCACCAAAGGGGCCCAAGAACATTCTATAAATCATCGGAATTTATTTGTAACGTTCAATTTATTAAAAGATAGGGACAGTCTTTTTTATGATTTAGACATATTAATTTTTATCCCTAACATTTTCTAAGAGAATGTGTTGTTTAATGAACATGATAACAATTAATCATTTGCAAAAATATTGTGAATTCAGCTCAACTTGACAATTAAAATGTGAGCATATTGTCACTGTAATTATAGTAAGTTGCGGCTAGGACTGTGGTTTATTTATCGGAGATGTTTACGGGAAAAGCTTTAAATCCACATTCGACTGATATTTTTCACAGACATGATCCGTGTTTGAGCATCTTAAGAGATTCCAAGAATTAAAGTGCTAAGAAGCTATATCTGATGTACACAGTGCTTAAGAAGTAACAATTTGAACTAAGGTTTATTCACGGGCTAACTCAAGAAGTTCTTATTTACTTTTTATTCTAAAATTTAACAAGTTATTTGTCTTGAGGATATGTTAATAATTATTGTTAAGTATTATCATTTTGATTTTTTATACCATTGTGACTGATATATAATTTTTCTTTTAAAGTTTTAAAGAAGATACATTTTTGATTGGTTGAACTTTAAGATAAACATAATTGATGATAGGGAAATCACCCAATGATAAAACAGAATGAGTATGATAAAAAAAAATATTTTATCGTGTTTACAGATACATTGAGAAATTAATGTTTTGAATAAGGAGCAGTACACAATAAAATGACTATTTTTACTTGTATTTTGTTTCCATTTACAAACAAATTTTGAACGCATATTAAGTATAATTATTCAAATTACAATTTGTTTCATGCACACATTTCTCCGAGGTGATATTTGATATATTTGATTACTGTATTCAGCATGTTAAATTACTGTCTTTTGAAATTATTTTAATAAACACGAATAAATCACCTAAACATTTGCTTGCCATACAGAAGTTGAACAGAACAATATACCGTGTATTCTTTGCAAAATTTTGACATTATTAACAGTACATTTTGTTATCATTTTGACAGCTTCTTTTCGTTTTATGTCTATAACTTGTATTTTTGTATTATGTTCTGTTTAAATAAAGTTAAAGATTGTATAATTATCAAGTACAGAGTTGTTTCGCTATTTAAATTGATCATTTAAACAAGCGGAGAAGGAAACATATAAAGTTTTCAATAAGTTAGAAAGATGCAAATATTTTGGCAATAAAACAAATAATTGTTGTTTATTTTTAAACTAGTAATTACTAATGTAACTCGTACAAAAAGATATAACTCAAAGATAAGTTAGGCTGATGTAACAACTGACATTGTTCACAACGATTTAGATTTATTGTTATTTTCTCACAATGTAATGTAGTTAAACTAAACAGATAGTTCATTTCCTATGTGCCTTGGTTTATCAAAAGTTACATTTATAAAAATTATATTCTACGTTGCTTAATGTTAACAAACAATCTGATAATTGGTCATACCATTTTCATTAAAAGATGTTAAAATAATTTTCATATTCTATTCAAAATTTCTATATAATTAACGAGTTGTGTCAGAAATAAATATCGTATGATTGTGCTATTCTCCACCTGATTTGCGCTTTTCAATTTTGGATCATTTCTTATAATTAGAATAATTGCTCTGGGAAAAAGGGGTGAGCGATTGATTTATCACACAATTTCTTTGTATAGAAATGGAATATTTTAATATCGAAACATTATCATTCACTTTTTCATATGATTATCTTAACTATTTTACAATTTTTATACGATAAAATCTTAAAATAATAACAGCTTTTTTTTACCTTACTTGTCCATGCTTTCCACGTGATTTTCCTAGCAATATTTAGATTTTTTCACCACGCTTTATCCGGGTCATCCACAATTCTCCCAACGGACTTATAAACCATTTATTACATACCACATCGTTACATGCTTGTTACCAAGACCTTATTATCTCGCCCCCTTTTATAACCCCATGACTTAATAACCGCATTTTGCTGCGCTTAATGCCATCATCATCATTATTTTATTATTTTTATTATTGAACTTATTTTCCTTTCCGGTAATAACTATAATATACTGCATGATTAATAAAAAGGTTTACAAACTCTACAAAGTTTAGTTTATTGTGTTTGATTTAAAGAAAAAACATGTAACTTATCATCTTGTTGTTACTTATTAACTTTGTATATGCCTTTCCACTTTAATTTACTAATTTTAAATGGGAAACAAAATGAGTTATGTTTGTAAGCTGATATTGATAAAAGTATTTGTAATAATTGTTGTTTATTATTCTTTTAATTATCACATTCCATAAATAAGATTATACTGACAAAGATCCAAAGTCCATATTTTGCTATATTACTTACACTTTTTGAAATAGTCTGTCTAACTCAAAATTTCAACATTTAATCCCGCTAAAATAGGTAATTTAATGCCCATACATTTGCATTATCAGGAAACTGATTGCGGCCCTCTTGGACGCCATCTTGGATAACAATTTTGTGACAAAAGTTAAGACAGTGCAACATGCAGTTTTATAAAAAAAACAGTAACAGTTTATTTTATATATAAAAAACCATGTTCATACCGCTATGTCCCATAAGGAAACAAGATGTACCCATTCGTTTGCAACATCATTATGTGTACACAGAGGTTTCCAGTCCGACTAAAGGGTAAAACTTGTCGTAAAGAATTATTTGAATGACAAATGTTTGGATGTCGAACTTGGTACAAAAAAAACTCCAAACAGATTTAGCTCTCGGGTACGGACCCTGTACATGCCACCAGTTATGCCCATAAAGGGTTAATTTTGAAGCACAAAGTTGTTATAAAAACCTCTATTCAATTTTCTAACAGTAATAGCCAAAGATACTAATTTTGAACCAAATGTAGGTCGCGATCAATGAGAGTTAAAATGTACTGTAACCTGGGAAAAGAGGAGGTAGCTGTTGGTGCCAAGCAAAGGGCCAGCCTTTCAAACCGTCACTATTTGTGCAAGGGGGGTAACGCATCCTTTGTAGGGCCAATCCCCTCGGCTTAAGTCAGGACACAGGCAGTAAATGCCATGCAAATTATACGTCGTGCCGCTTTACACGTTATCCCAGGATCTAGAAAACATCATAGACTTCATAGAAATGTTTACCATTATGAAGAAGCCGCGCGCATGAACCAGGTTTCTAGGTCAAATTAAGAATCACATTTAGAGCTCATTGAAAAATGCTTGTTTAGGGCAAAACTTCTACATGCCTGGAAGGATTTCAATATCAATTGGCACAAATGTTGATCATTGTAAGACGTCGTTTTTCGCCCTTAACACAGACCACTGCGGTCACAAATAGAGGTCACAGCTCAGAAAAAATAATAAGATGTGTAAAGGGACCATTTAGTTATCATTTATTGAGGAATTGTAACACAAATGATCATTTTCATGACTATGTCTGTGACACATGCACTTTTGGTCAAAATATTCAAGGTGAAGCTCACTTAAGATAATAAAATATCCAGATTGTTTCTGAAGCATATCTCCTCCAAGTATGAGACGTACTGCTTTACGCATGATTAAAGTCTCTATGTCAAAGGTCAAGGTCACACTAAGAGTTAATAGACTAACTCCGGAATTAAGAATATCAGTTATTAATGTAATAATGTACATGTATATGTTTTTAAATAAAACAGTCGTGTTTCGGTACGTGAATTCAATTCCTAACACGAACTTCACCGTTGTCGGTAGCCAATTATTATTATAAACACACTTGAATAATATATAAAACGATGTAAGTTTCTTTCTATATATACTTTTTATTTTTCTGTGACGACATTTTTTGACCTCAGATGACCTTTATTCAAACTGGAACTGGAATCATTCAAACAACCTTTTTTGAACTAGATTTTGACCATGGATGACCCATATTCACAGCTGAGCAAGAAATCATCAAACAAATTTTCTGACAAATTGGAAGGATATTTGGGATGAAAATAATACCTTTAGAATGTAAACAATATCTTTCCAAAATTTGGGTTGTGTGAGCTAAAGTTTGACCCCAGATGACCTGGAAACCATCTGAACAATCTTTTGACTACTTTCCAAGATATTTGGACCTAAACAGTATCCTCTACAAGGTTTTTCTATATCTGGTCAGTGTTATCAAGCTTTTAACTACAGATGAACTATATTTGATCTTAAGCTAGAAATCATACAAACAATCTTTTTGACCAATTTCAAGGATATTTGGACCCATAACAGTAGCCTCTACTGTGAATATGATAAACAAGATCAACAAGGAAAGGCGGCGTTCAATTAACGCAACCCCCATATGACCCAGCAACAAGAACCAATGGCAAGGAGCCCAGGCGGACTCCAAACATAAAAAGGACAGGGCAAAGACAGGTTAATCATTAAATGATAAATAATTTGTAACTGATTAGGAATTTAAAGAAAATGATAATAGGCCCACAAAGGGGAAGGGGACAGGAGACCAGGGGAAGGGGGGGGGGGTTAATCAAAGAAATAAAAACTAGAGGCACTGGGGCAGATACTTACCGTAGACGAGAAAAAACAACGGACACAAGCAAAAGTGTCACCAAAACAGTATGAACCAACACAGGTTTTTGAGTATTTGGGCTGTATGACATGTTTTTTTAGTACCCAAAATAACGTATATTCAAACTTGAGATAGAAATCATCTTAAAAACCTTTCTAACTAATTTCCTGGATATTTGGACCAAGAAGTAGCCCTTAAAGTGTTAACGAGTTTTTTTTTCTTCAAAATTTGGACTGTGTGACCTAGTTTTCAACTCATATGACTCATATTCGAAACTGCTCAAGAAATCTTCAAAACAACATTTCTCGGATATTTTGACTTAGAGTGTTTTTCAATATTTGGAAACCTCTTGCCCCCGGGGCGGGGCTTATTTTTACACTAGAGAAGAACTTTGAAACACTTTGTAAGAGGACCAATAGATGACATCATTTACCAAATTTCGAATCTCTAAGCCTTATATCTTCAGAAAGAAGATTTTGTAAGCTTTTACTATATGTACATAATGAAAATCATTAAGCCACGGGGGGCGGGGCCTATTTTGACCCAAGGAATATAATTTAAAATTACAACAAAATATAAGATATTGTAATTACTTAATAACAGCACTGGTGTAATAATGGCATAATCGAGTGAACATTGTCCTTACATAGGTTCAACTATAAGAAAAATGAAAATTAACTGAATGCTGTTTCCAAACGGTTATAAAAATACTATGTAAATCACTGCTTCATAGATTAAAGACAGAATGCATCTGCGACAAAGTATTATCATATATTATTGCAAAAGGAAAATATATTCTGATGCAACATATGGATACTGGTAGAATGAAAACAAGGCATACAAAACATTGCATTGCAAGATGTTAAACTTTATGTTGAAAATGCAATTTATAAACGTTTTATATATATATAGACAGTGAAAATCCTCTGTTAAGACCACCAAAGGTGTGGATATAATAATCAAGGTATATATATTTCATGACCACTGGTTTAGATTTATTATGTATAAACATGTTTAAACTATTATAGCTTTCAAATATTACAATAAACTGATGTTATAATAGTTAACCCTAGTAAGTACATAAGTCTAAAGATATTTAACGTAAAAGATGAAATTTCCATACGTCTTGTTTCATTTACATAATTCTCCTATTAATTAAAAACATTAATTCTTCACAAAATAAATGCGCAGAGAGTAACATTAAACCACTCGAAATTTTATTTGCTGACCTTTAGACAATTTGTCAATCATAACAGTTTTAGAAAGTGCCATGTTTAAGATAATTCAAGCAGATGAATAGATCTGAATAGGTATTGACTGGAATATCCGTTGTCTAAATAGTGGGGTAAGATAAATTAAACAATGAATTGGGACTGAAACTGATAATATTAAAAATTGATAAGTGGGGTTGTCTTGATTGTGGATCATGTTAGCATTAACATAAAGAACAGAAACCTTTCTTTTTAAAATTTATCTTTATAGAGGGATGGTCTTAATTCCGGGGTGGTCTTAAGTAGGAATTCTACTGTAATATATTCTGCAATTTCAGATTAACGCAGTAGAAACACCTTGAGAGTGCAATTGTGGCATTGACAGCTCCTTAAAAGCGCCGTACGTACACATGTAGTATAAGCGCGATATAGACGCCATACAATCTTTGTACAAGAGCCGGTGTTCAATCGGCGACCCTTTGTAGGAGATGCTACTGAGTTGCTTCGGCGTCCTTACTGCGATCCCACAGCGCTCTTATCAGACAGCCGAGTGAAGGCGTTTCTTTTGAGCATGTTCAAAATGCGAGCCGTTTCAGTAATAACATTTCATATGGTTCCATTAATAAAAAAACCTTTCAGATTAAAACAAAATTAGATGCCGCTCACATAACAGAATTAAATGAGGTGATGTGATTCACGTTTTTAATATATCAAATAACTAACTGTTCGAAATTACGGAATTCCGTGAGGGCCATCGTTGTTTCGTTCTGTCCCTATAAGGGCAAAATCGCGAAAATGCATTGACGCGAAAACACGATGCAAGATCGCGAAAACACGATGCAAAAATATCGCTTTTCCGCTATTAATATCGCAGTTTCGCGTTTTCGCCCATGATCTCCCATCGTGTTTTTGTGTTTTCGCCTTCGCGGTCAGTAGGGCGAGAACGCGAAAACACGATATTA